TGGCGATAAGAACCAAGGAAGACGGCGGGAGCGGGAGACGAAGACGCACTCACCAACGCGGCAACAGGAACGGAGAGGAAGAGCGGGGGAGCGCGAGGCGAAAACGAGAAGCCGGGGCGGGGGGGCGGCAGGGGGAAGCGGAGCATGGGGAGGGGAGGGAGGCCGTGGGCGGGGACGAGGGGGCGAAGCCCGCGCGGGCCGAGGCGGCACCGAAGGCACGAAGGGGACTGGCGACCGAAAGGGAGCAAAGAAGGGCGAAGCGCCGCCGCGCAAGCGAGGAGGGAGAGAGGGGAGACCTGGTCGGGTGAGAGAGAGGCGCGAGGCCAAGGGCAGGGGGCGGAAAAGAGGGGACATAGGAAGGAGAAAGCGCCGGCCCGAGCGAGGAGGCAGGAAAGGAGAAAAAGGGAGAGCAACCACGCCTGGAGGCGAGGCAGCGGCGGCGAGGATGGCAATGTCGAGAGGTACGCGCGGAGGGGGAAAAGAAAGAGATAACGGAGCGGGAGCGCACAACCCGCGAGGCTCGGGAGGCCAGAGCGCCCGAGGCGCACGCGAGCGAGGAGAAGGCCAGGAGGCGGCATAGCGAGGCGGAACACGTGGGAAAACGCCCGGCCCGAGAGTGGAGGATGAGAAGGCAAATGGGGAGCGGGCGCGGCGGAACGACGCGGGCGGCGCCGCCCCGGGAGCGCGGAAAGCAGTCCAGGCAGCGAGATGCGGGCGGCGGGCAGACGGCCCTGCGGCCGCGAAGCACGGGGCGCGGTGAAGGAAGGAGGAAGAGGGGCGAGCGAGGGAAGGAAGACCAGACGGGGGAGAAGGGGCGGTGCGAGGGAAGCAGAGGCGGGCGGGGGCCGGACTGCCGGGCCAGACGACCCCGATGGGAAGAAGGCGTGCCGGGCGCGGCGGCAGGGACCGGAGATCTGGAGGGGCAACGTCGGCGAGTGGAAATGAGACGGCGAGGAAGAAAGAAGCAGGCGAAGTCCCCGGAGAGAGGAGCAAAACAAAGGAAAACGCGGGCTGAAGAAGAGAGGGGGGGTGACAGGTTAAAGGGAGGAAAGCAAACGCAAAGGAAGAGGCCCTGAGCGCCAGAAGAGCGAGCAAGACAGGAAGAACCGCCATGCCTAGGGAAAAGAAGCGAGGTGGATGCCCGGAGGGCAACGGTGGGGAAGGGGGAGCGGAAGTAGAAGGAGGCAAGAGGGACCACCAGCCAGAGTAGAGTCGTGGGGGAGGGCCGGGCGCCCGCCCTGGAAAGAAGGAAGACGGAGGCGCTAAAGGCGGAGCGGGAGCGACGATGGCGGCGAGCGGAGGCGAGGGCGAAGAAGCGGGTGCGAGCGCGGGGCCGACTCGCTCCGAACGAAGGGGGAACAGGCGGCCAGCATGAGTAGATGGAGAGGAGCGGAAAGCCGGTACGGAAGCCAGAAGAAAGGGAGGGGGCGGCGCCCCAGCCGAATGGGCGGCCCGGGCCGCGGCACGCGCGCAGCGGAAGGGGCACAGGACAAGGGAGTCGCGGCAGCAGCTAGAGGACCAAGACTGGCCAGGCCCACGAAGGGGGGCGAACCAAGAGCAAGCGACGGGCGCGGTGGGGAGAGGGAGGGGGGCGGCGGCCGCCCAGGAGAGGCGCCGAAGCCAGAGAGGGCGGCGGTGAGACAGCCGGGCGGGGCACCTGGGAGGCCGAGGCAGGAGGCAGGACGAGAGCCCAAGCAGGGCGATCGAAGAAAGCGAACGAGAAACCAAAAACCAGACGAAAGAGGAGGAGAAAGAAAGGCGCCAAGGGGGCCAAAGGAGGCCAACGGCGGACCGGGCGGCGAGAAAACCGGAGAGCGCAGAGAGGGCGAGGCGGGGGGGGGGGAGGAAAGGGAAGGCGGGCAGAGCGAAAGGAGAACATAGCGCCACCAATAAGAGCAGGCCAAGAAGACCACGCACGGGGAAAAGCGCAAGACTGGCGGCGGGAAGCGGCGGAGGGGAAGAGGGAACAGCATAACAGACGAAGAGTGAGAAAACGGCGAGAGCCGCCGAGATGAAACGACGGGAAAGCAGTAGCGAAAGAAGGCGAGAACCGAACAAAATGAGGAACCGGAAGGGGGCGAAAGACGGGGAGGCGGAACAAAAACGGAAGGGACCGCGAGGGTGAGCACGGACAACCAGCAAACCAGAACCATAAGCAGGCGCGACAAACTAGAAAAGGAGCAGGACGGCGGCCGGCCCTGAAAGGGAACGGCAGGCGGGAGCTCAAGAACGAGCAGAAAGGCGAGCGAGGACGACCAGGCGCGTGGGTGGCGGAGGGCAGAGGGCGGGGGACAGGCCAACGGCACGGAGGGACGGACGAAAGGGGGAACCGAGGGGGGGGGCAACGGCCGGCCCCAGATGGCGAGTGAAAGAAACCCGAGCGAGCAAAGCAGTAGGCCCTGGCCCCCCAACCAAGGGAAGCGGAACGACGAGGCAGAGCACGGCGAGGGCACCCCCGCAGAGAGACAGGGCGGAGTAGAGGCGAGTGAGACCGCCGGCGGCCCGAGGAGAACGGAATACGCCCAGGGCGCGCGGGAGCCCCGGGGCGTGCGAAAGACAGGGGCGGACGATAGAGGCAAGCCGAGAGGAAGGAGGCGGGATACCCGGGAGCGGACCGGAACGAAACCCAAGCCCAGCCGGCGCGGGCGAGCAAGGCAGAGCCGCGATCGGCGGGCCGCCGAGCAGAGAGGGGCCGCGGGGCGGATGGGCGGGCAAAAGAGGAAAAAGGGGGAAGGATAGAAAGGGAAAGCCCCACGGGGGGAGGGGACAGGTGGGACCCCGTGGGCCGCGCAGCCGGCCCGGGCGGGGGCGGAAATGGGCAACGCAAGGAGCGGGACGGCGAGCAAGCGGGGGGGGCCCGGAGCCGAACGGTGGCGGGCTCAAGAAAGAGGGGGCAGAGGAGCGGCCAAGAGACGCGAGGGGGAGGGAGGGCGCGACTGAGCGGCCCCCCCGAAGAACCGCAGCGGGCATGGTGCCCCCGCAGACGGCGCAAGGGGCGAAGGCCCTGGCCGCGCGCGGGGAAGCGCGGCGCTGGAGGCAAGCGGACGGCGAGCCGACCGCCGAGAGCCAAGCGGCGACCGCGACGGGCGGCGACGGCGGGCGCGCGGGGCCGGCACGAGAGCCAAGTCGCAACGGCAAAGAGCGCGGGGAGGTCCGCGGCGGCCGGGCCGGCGGGAAGCAAAGCGACCGCGGGCCGATCGCACCGCCGGCGTGGCGGAGGAGGAAGATGAGCGGGGGAACCCGGGTCCCGGGGAAGAGAGGGAAGCGGCAAAGCGCGGCGCGGCAGCCGGGGGGAGGCCGGCGCGGGGGGAGCGGCGGCGGCCCAGCCGAAGGGACCCCCGGGGGGTGGGGCCCAGGGCGGGGAGCCGGGGCACAGGGCGACCCAGGGCAGGCAAGAAAGGCGAGCGGGTGGCGATACGCCGGCGGGATGCGCGGGCCGACCTGAGCACACGCAACGCCCAGCGGTCCCAGAGCACAGGCCGCGGAAGCGAAAGGGGAATAGCCGACGCAGCGAGCAGCCTCCGGCGGAGAGCGGGGGGCGGGGACGAAAGCGCGAGCACAGGGCACGCGCGGGGAGCAAGCGGCATGGTGGGCCGCACGCCGGAAGGCGGAGCGGGGGAGCAGACACGCGGGAGGCGGGCCCACGCGTCAGACCGCCGTGGCGGCGGTGGAGAGGAGCGACAAACAAAGTAGCGGGGGGGAAGAGGTGTGAGTGGGGGGGGGAAGGAAAATGGGAAAGGGCCAGGCAGGGGCTGTAGGAGCAGCAGGCGGCAGCGGGGGGTGCGGACAGAAGGCGGAGGTGCCGCGCCCTTGGAGGCCGCCCCCCACGCGGGTGAACCTTGAAAGAACGGGCGGCGCCAAGGCAGGGGCGGGGGGGAGGACCAGAAAGGGGGCGGGAATGGTGCAGGGCAAAGGGTGCGCGGACGGGGAGCAAGAGGAGGGGGAGCGTGAACACAGGGGAAGACGCGGGAGGCAGGCCATAGCCAAGCGGCGGGGGGGAAGGGCGAGCCCCCAAAAAGGGGGCGAGAAGGGCGGATAAAAAGAGCGAAGGACGAGCGGAGCTGGGGGGGCGGGACGGGGGGGCGGGCGGGGGGCGGACGGCCGGGCGGGCGAGGGAGCAGAAGCAAGAGCCTAGCCCAGACCACCCGGGGAGAAGGAGAGGAGAAGGGCGGAAGGGGCCCCGCCGCAGGCGCGGAGAGGGCCACAGGTGGCGGGGGCCGCAGCGGCCATGGGGCGGAGGGCGATGGCACACCCGCGAAGCCAAACGAGAGGAGAAGGAGAGCGGAACGCCAGTGAGGGAGGGGACGCAAGACGGCGGGACCGGCGGGAGAGGAGGGACACCAAAGGAGGCCCGCCAGACAGAAAGAGGGCCGGACGGGACGAGGAGGGCAGAAGGCGAGGGGAGGGGGTGGGGGACTAACGGAGAAGCAGGGGAGAAAGAGGCCACAAGGAAAGGGAAAGAACCAGGGCGTCAGGAGCCAGATCAATCGACCGAGACGGACCTGGCCGAAAAAGAAGGCCAAAACACGAGCGAAGAGACGGGACGGGAAGGCGGGCAGCGTAGGGACGGAAGAAAGGGGAGAGGCGCAGAGAGACAACCGGGAGACGCAAGGCCGCGAGACCAAGCCGCACGGGACCACGCAAAGCAGAAACAGCAGCGCGAGCGTACGAGAAAGAGAGAAATAGAGGAAAGCACGGGACCAAACGACAGGGAAATCCAACCGGGCGAGGAAGGCGGCGAGTGAGTGCGCGGGGAATAGCGCGAGCCAGCGAGGAAGAGCGGCCAGGGCGGCGGAGTGGACGGCGGGAAAGGGGAAAACCCAGGCGGGGAAGGCAGGAGAGGTGGAGCAGACTCGGAGCAGCAGCAGAGAAGAACGCAAATGGAACGAGGGGAAGGACGGGGCCCGCACGCCCAGAAGTAGTGGGAAGCAGACGCCGGAGAAGGAGAGAGAGAGCAGCAAGAGGCGAGAGGCTGAGGGGAGGAGCCGCGGCGGCACAGTATGGACGGGGCGCGGGAGGCGGGCGCGGACACGGGGGCCAAGAAGCGCGAGGCAATGCGCACGAGCACCGCGGCGCAGCATGGGGAACGCCAGGTGCGGGAAAGGGAAACCAAGCAGGGCGGGCAGGAAACATGCAACGAAGCACGAGCGGGCGGGTCAGCGGAGCGACGCAAGGAAGGAAAGGCGGCGGAGCGGAAAGCGTCGGAGGGGAGGCCGGGGAGACCGCAGGCGGAGGAGGGCGAGAGGGGGGACGGGAGCACGGCAGAGCCACAGGGGGCGCCGGAGGGGGGCGTGCGAGGCAAGCCCATGGCGAGCGTAAGGCGCCGACGGAAGCGGGAGGGAGACAGATGCGTCGGGGGGGAACACGAGCAGCGTCCACCCAGCAGCAGGGAAGACCCGGCGGGTCAAGGCCGAGAGGAGAGCAGGCAGGGAGAGCAGGTGTGTGTTGTTGTGGGGGGAAAAGGAACGGGAGGGGCGTTTGTGGCACAGTTTTTGTGTTAAGCCAACCAACGTGACTATGGGAGTCGTGGTACGTTGATGTGGACAGACCCGGGCGTGGTGTGACGTGTGGGCGTTTTCGTGGTTTGTGTTCAGGCTTGCGTCGGAGCACCGCTACGCAGTGCGCGCAAGTGGGCAAGAAGTGAACGGAGACGGAATGGGGGAGGGCGGGCGCCAAGGACCAATGAAAGGACAAGGAGCAGACGGAGGCGGAGTGGAGGTGAGACACAGAGGCACGCGCACAACAGGTCGCCCAAGCCGGAGGGCAACAGACCCGGGCAAGGGCGAGCTAGCACGACAGAGGGTGACCCCTCCAGGAAGGGAGAGTCAAAGACCATGGGCAGCAAACCAGGATGCAAAAGCCATGCAACAAAACCAGCACGACGGCGAGGAGAGAGGCGGCGGGGGGAACGGACGGCCGGAGAAGAGGGGACAGAGGGAAGGCGCGGAGCAGCAAGCCAGGAGCAGAAAGAGCGAAGACGATGGCGGAGCAAGCCGCACAGAATAATGACGAAGACGGCAGGGGGAACCAGACCACCGAAAGGAACCAGGGGTCAGCGGCACATGGCAAGAAGGCCGCAAAGCCAGGCGGGAGGAAATGGAGGGAAGCACACGAGGAATGAGCAGACGCACCGGCCAGCGGAGCAGGGAGGAAGGGGTTCGGGCAAAAGCGAAGAGCGAAAGCGAAAGAGAGGGCGGGAAACCGGCCGGGGGCACGAAGACCTGGGGAGGGGACGGGGCATGTAGAAGGCCCAGAAGGAAGAAGGCCTGAACGCGCCAAGCGAGCGGGGCGGGCGAGAAGAGCCAGGGAGAAGCCGGGCCGGCGGAGGGCGGGCAGTAGCCGAGGAGCTGAGGAGCGAGGGGGGCAGGCCGCAGGGAGTCGAAGAGAGGACAATGGCGAAGAACGGAGAGAGGAGGAGAGTGGGCGCGCGCCATCGCAGACGGTGGAGGGGCGGAGCCGCCGCCACGACGGGAAGACGAAAACGGAGGCAAGACAGCGGCGCACGCGGGCGGGGGGAAAGGGGGAAGCCGAAGAAGAGGGGCGTACCGACCGGGGAAGACAGCGGGAGTAGAGCCGGGGGAAGCGGGACAGAGAGTGACGCGGGAGGCGAGCGAGCAAGACAGGATGGCAAGCAAGTAAGACGAACGGCAGCAAGCGCTGCAGAGGACGGGAAAGGAGCACAAAAGAGAGCAGCCAGGGGTGTGGGGGGGGGGGGCGGGGGGGGGGGGGGGGGGGGGGGGGGCGAGGCAGAGGAGGAAAGGAAGCTGAAATAAGGAAGCGACAGCAGAGCATAAAAAGAATAGGGGAGAGGCCAGAGAGGCCAGAGCGGGGAGAAGCGAGCGGACAAACAAAAACCGAGAGGAGCAAGCCGTGAGGGCAACAGAGGGGAGGTGCCGCGGGAAGAGAGAAGGAACGGGGGGGCTTCCGGCCCCCAGCAAGAGGGGCCAAGGCGGCGGCGTGAACCGACAGGAAGGGGGGGGGTGCAGGAGAAAAAAAGCGTACAGAGACGAAACAGGCGGGCGAGGCCGTGGCCGGGGTGAGAAACACCTGACCCAGCACGTAGGAGGGCGCGGGCGAAGAGCGAAAGGGGAAAAAGAAGGAGGGAAAGAGGCCCGGCGCTGGGAGCGGGGTGCCGGGCTGAGTAGTCGAGTAGGCACATAAGGAGAGTGAGACACGCAGGCAGAGCAGGAGGGAGGATCAACCAGAAAGGGACACGGGACCGGGAAAGGAGAGCGCCGAGGACGTAGCGGGCAGCGCCGAGCGCGCGGCGGGCGGAGGAGCCGCGCCTAAAGCGGAGCGAAAGGGGAACTGGGGATCGTGGGGGGAGCAAGGGCGCCGGCAGCGTGGGAGAGGGGAGGGACGAGGCAGGGGGAGAGGAGAGGCAGGCAAGGATGAGAAGCGGCGGGCGAAGGCCGGAAGGCGGCGGGCGGGGCGAGGCGAGGCAGAGACGGGGGAGAGAGGTGAAGGAGGCAGGCAGCAGGCGGAGAGAGAGGCCAACGGCGCGGCGGATGGCGGGCAGCGGGGCCAGCAGCGGGCCGCCGAGGCGGCAGGCACCGCCGCCGGGGGGGGGACGAGGCGAGACCAGGAGTAAAGTGGGGCTGTGGCGGAGCCAACAATGAAGCGGGAGCGGGAAAAGTGGAAACTCAGGGAAGGGGGGAAAGGCCCGAAGCAACGCGCAGGGCCGGCAGGAGGCGGGCGCAGCTGTGAGCAGCACACACCAGGCACACCGGCGCCACGAAACACAGAGACCGGAGGAAGAGAGAAAAAGGGGCGCGGGAGGGCAGCCGAACCCAGCAAGGGGTGGAGGCGGGGAAGAGAGAAACAGCGGGAGCCGGCCGGGGCGAGGAGGGGGCGGAAGCAGAAGGAGGGGCTCCCCCGAAGAACCGAAGAAAGAGAACGGAGCGCGCGGCCGGCTAGGCCGGACGAAAGAGGAAGAGAGGAAGGGGCGGACCAAGTGGGGGGCCGGTGGCGGGGGAGGGGGCGGGGGCGATGGCGAAAGAAAGAGGGAGAGCGTGAAGAGCGGCAAAGCCGAGGCGGCCCGCCAGGAGAAGGCGGTGCGAGGCAGGAGAGAGGCGAGGCAGGAAGGAGAAGGAAAGCAAGAAAGGAGAAAGGAACGGGATGGCGATGAGCGCCGGACGAAGGGCAGAGGAGCGGAGGCAGGCCGTAGGTAAGAAGAGAAGGCCGGACAAAGCGGAGCGAGGAACAGGTGGAGAGGCGTAAGGGCTGGCGGAGTCGCGGCGGCGGCGGGGCGGAAGGAGACAGGCAAGGCGGAGAGAGCGCGGCACACGGCCGGCGGGGCAGGGGAGAAGTAGACGGAGTGCGGATGCAGTGGGACGTGAGACGAGGGCCGGGCCAGAGAGGAAGGAAGGAGGCAAAAAAGCCGCGGGGAGGAGGCGGGAGGAACCCGAAGAGCAGGCGCGAAAGGGGGGGCGCGAGGAAAGGCCAGCGGGCCTTGCAGGAAGCACGGTAAGGCGAGAGACCCCCGGCGGAAAGGGACGGGGGGCCAGAGCGAGGAGGGAGATAGAGGACGGCCGCGTACGGGCGCGCTGAGGGGGACGCCAGAGGCGCAGGTCGAGAGTAAGCACGCGGAGACGTAAGATCCGGGCGCCCCGGCTTGCCGCGCGGAGCGAAGAGAGGCCGGACGCGCGCGGGGCGGCCCATGGGGGGGAGGCGGGCCCAGGGCTGCGCGGGGAGAGCGGAAGAGTCGGAGCAGGACAGAGAGAGCGCAAGGCCTAGGAGGAGGAGGAGGAGCAGGGGAGCTGGGAGGAGAACGGGAAGCGCCGAGTGGGCAGGGAAAGGGGCAGTAGAGAGGAACAAGGCCGGGGAGGCGCGGCAGGGCCGGCGCAGTTGCGGCGGGGAAAGGCGAAAGAAGACGAGAAGCGTGACGGTGAAGAGGCGGGCGGGGCGAGCGCACCAGAGCCGGCAGAGGAGTGCGAGGGAGAGCCGCCGCAAGAGGCAAGGATGGCGTGCCGGCTGCGCGGACGGAAGAAGCAGGGTTAGTGAAAAAGGCGCCACGAATGAGGGCGGGGGCCGCGCCCAGGCACAGAGGACGCGGCAGGGAAGAGAGAGAGAGGAGAGGGGTCGAGAGGGCCGGGGCGAGGGCGAGAGCGGGGCCGAGAGAGATGAAGCGAGGAGAAGAAAGGCCGGCGGGCCGCGAAGAATAAGAGAGCGCCGGCCTGGCGCGAAAAAGGAGAGAGGCCGGAGAGGAGGCGCAACGCCATGGGGAGCCGGTGCCGCGGGGGCATCCAGACGGCGAAGGCGCAAGGCCATGGGAAATGAGGAGGGCCCACGGCGCGCGCACCAGCGGGGGGGCGCGGGGCGCGCGGCCGGGAGCTAGCAAAAGGGGGGAGACGGAGCGGGAGAACAAAGGGACGGCCCGCGGGCAAGGCAACGGAGGGGAAGGCGAATGAGGAGCGGCCCACAGAGAGAGAACCAGCAGGGGGAGGGGCAAACGAGGGGGGAAGCCATCGCCGAGAGCCGGGAAAGGGGGAGGAGAGGCCGGCGAGTAAGGAGGGCAAGGCCCAAGCCGCGAGAAGAGAGCCTGGCGGGCGAGGGAGGGGTGCGCGCAAAGGCCAAAAAGGAGAGAAAGCAGGAACCCAGCAGGGTGAGGCGAGACGGGCGACGGGCGGGGAGGCGCAGAAGGGGATGGCCCGACCGGAAGAGAGGCGAGAAAAAGGAAGGCCAGAAGGAAGGGGGCTCCGTCGCGGACCGGCCGGGCGGGCGAGGAGTGGGCCACAGAGAAGTGAAGGAGCAACCGGCACGAGGGGAGGAGCGGATGCAGGGCGGAAGGCAGGTGCATGGCGGGCAAGGAGAGAGCAGGGGACGCCTGGGCAAGAAGGATGCAGCGGGGCCGGCGCGGGCCGGGGAGGCGAGCCGGAGGGGAGGCAAGGCGGAGGCAGGCGGCAGACCGTCAGGAGTGCAGGAGGAGGTGAAGGAGAAAAGGAATGAAGGAAGGAAGGCAAGGGAAGCCAGGGCGGGCCAAAGCGAGCAACCGAACCCGGAGGCGGCGCGAGGAGGACGGCAAGAAGCCCAGGCGGGAAAGGCCGGCGAAAAGGAGGAGAAAGAGAAGGGCCCCCAGAAAGCAGGAAGGAGCGGGGCTGAGCAGGGAAGGCCGAGGCGGCGGGGGGCAGGAGGCAGGAGATGCCAGTAAGGGGGCGGGCCCAGCGACGCCGAACCCAGCAGCCCGAGGCGGCGAGGAGACAGGCGGGAAAAAAGCTGTGGAGGAGGGTAGCAAACTGCCGGGCCGGGGGGGGGCCCAGGAGAGACGCGAGGCGCAAAAGGGGGGGAGGGCAGAGGAGCGGAGAGGGAGGACGGCGCGAGCAGCGCCCGGGGAGGCGAGGCACCGGGCCGCGGCAGGGGAAGGGAGGGGCGGCAGCAGCCGGAACGGCAGCGGGCGAGGCACCGGGCGCGCCAGGGAACGCCGGGCGTCTAGGACGGCCAGGGGTCGCGGGGCAGAAGGAGATAACAAACGGGTAGATCGCGAAGAGGAGGCGCGGGGCGGCCGGGCCAGGAGACAAAACCAGAAGAGGAGGCGAGGACGAAAAGCGCGGGAACAAAAAGAGGGGGGCGAGGGGGTTCGCCAAAAAAAGGGGCAGGGGGAGGAAGGCGGAGAGGAGAGACGGAAAGGAGCGCGCGCGTGGCCGCCGCCGCCGGGCGGGGGGGGAGAGAGAGCCGGGCCGGGTCGAGAAGAGGAGCTTGGCCGACAAGCCCACGGGGGGGGGCAGGAAAACGTCGCGCCCAACGTTGGGGGCCGCGCGTGGATGGGAACGAGCAGCGGCGGGTGGGGGGCGACGGCCAGCAGAACCTCGAGTAAGCATCGTCGCCGGCCGGGGGGCGGCGCCGGCGGCCATGCCGGAGATAAAAGGAAGGGCGGCAGAAAGGAAGGGCAAGGCGCGCGAACGGGGAAGAGACAGAGCCGGGGAAGGCGGCGGCAGAATCCGAAGGCACGGCCGCGGAACGGGCTACGAGACGGACCCGGGAAGAGGAGCGAGGAAGGAAATTAAGAGAGACGCGAAGAGGAAAGTCCAACAAACCGGGGAGACGAGGAGGAGAGCAGGGGCCCCACCACACGGACCGGCAGGGGGCCGAGAAAAGACGTGGGGACGCCGGAGACGAAGCCAGAAGAGGGAGGAGGGAGGCGGAGGAGGGGCAAGCACAAAGGAGGGGAAGAGAAGGAGCAGGAAGAACCGCGATAGGAAGGGAAAGGACGGCTCGAGCGAACGCCCGAAGGATAGAGGGCGGGGGGGAAGGCGAGGGAGCCGCAGGGGCGCCGGACGGTCAAGACGGGGATGGTCGGGAAGGGCGCCCGGAGGTACGAAGCCGGGGGGAGGGAGCGAGAGGGGGAAGAAAGGAGGGCACGTGGACGTGAAGGACTTTGATGGCCGGGGGAGAGGCAAGAGAAGAGACGAAGAAGAGGAGGAAAGCGGCCGGAACGGGACTGACTAAACGACTACGGAGCGAACGCAAAAGGAAGAGCAGGGAAGAGAGAAGGAGTGGAAAGGGGAGGGCAAAGGACCGACCGGAAAGCAGGAAAGGACAGGCAGCCGGGCGAAGGCCAAGGAAACGAGGAAGGGCCGGAAGGACGGCGCGGAGGCCAAGGAGCGCGCAAGAAAGCAAGGCGCAGGCGGGAAGAATGTAGCAGCGGCGACGGACGGTGGGCCCAGCGCGGCCGGGTCGGGCAGAAAAAGCACCCGAGAGGCAAGCCCCCAAGGCGAAAAAGAGATGAGGAGACGCCCAGGCGGGGGCCGGCGGGAGTAGAAGGGGCGGGGAGGGGAGAGACCCCGGAGTCATAGCACGCAAGCGAGCCGCGGAGAGAGAGCGGTCGGGAAGGGAAGCCGGAGCGTAAGGAGCGCCCGAAAAGCGTGGCAGCGAGCGGAGGAGCGGAACCCAGCGTGGGCAGCCAAGAGAGGGCTGGGCGGCGAGCGGGGGCGAGCGACGAAGGGACGGACAAGCAGGGAGGGAACCGGGTAGGCCCGGGGGGGAGAAAGAGAGCGGACGCCACCCCGTGGGAGAGAAAGGAAGCGCCGCAAGAGAACAAAGCAAGAGGGGTGAGAGCCACGGGTGCGCACGTCCGCGGGACCCGGAAGGGAGAAGCGCCAGTGAGGGGGGAACCGGGACCGGAGCCACAGGTCGTGGGAACGACGCGTGCAGGACGCGCGCCCGGGGAAGCGCCGGCAGGAGAGAGATGGGAAGGGAGAGAAAGCGAAGGGGCGCGCCGCGAGAGGCGGGAGAGCCCAGCAGATGAGGAAAAGAGAATAAGGACAGGCTGAGATAAACGGCCGCGAGTGAGTTGAGGCAAGCCGAGGCCGTAGGGATAGACGGCCACGCCCGCGGCGTGGGAAGACGCGGGGCTAAAGCGCGAATGCACGGAGATAAGAAGGACGCCAGCGGTGAAGATGGGGAGGAGGCGACTGGACCGAGACGACAGCAGGCTGAGGGGTTGAGAGCGAGCAAGAGATCCGTAGGACATGAAGTGGCGAGGCGGCGGGCCGGGTCCCAGCAGCGAGGAAGGCCAGTGACGATGACGAATTGAAGGCCGGGGGCCGCGGCGCGTGCGGGCCAACGGCAAAGTGAAAAGCGGAGGCCGGGCCGGCAGCCGCGCGCACGGCGCAGCCGAGCCTGACCGGGGCCGGCGAGCGATGCCAGCCGTGTAGAAGATGAGGCAGAGAGCAAAGAGAGAACGGGGAAAGGAAGCCACTAAAAGGGAGCCCCCGGAGCGGCAGGCGCTGCGGAGCCCAGCGAGGAAAGACAGGGGCGATAAGGGGAGAGGAGGAGAGAGGGGAGGAAAGAGACCGGACCGTAGGAGGAAAAGAGAAAGAGAGAAGGAAGCGGGAGGACGTAGGGCAACGAGAGCGTAGAGGAAAGAAACCCGGGCAGACAGGGGGGCTGACGCGTAATGGCAGGGAGGACAGAGGGCCGTGCCGTAGCCCCCGGCGCCGGCGAGGAGGGGAACACGCACCGCAGAGAAGCGGAGGGGGACGCCGCAGGCGAGGGGAAATGGACCGGTAGACGGCGAACGGAGCCAAGCAGGCGGTATGTCAACGGAAAAGAAGGAAGGGGGACGCGCGGCGAAGCGGCCGGCGACCGGCCCAAAGAAGAAGACGGGCGAGGAAGTGGGCGAGCGAGAGAAAGGGAGAGAGAGCCCCCGGGGCCGCGGCGCATGGGGCTATGTAGCCGGCCGGGCGGGCGATGCTCGAGGATAGAGAGCGCGCGGTCCCGGCGGGAAGCGACGGAAGCCTCAGGCCCGGGCCGGTGAGCGGGCGGAGGGCAGAGGGGCGTCCGGGCGGCGGCCGTCGGAGGGAAGGAGCGGACCGAGCCGAGGGAGTATGAGCGGGCGATAGGTGAGGGAACAGCCTGAGCGGGCAAGGGCGGGTCAAGCGCACCCCGAGGGAGGTGTAGGAAAGCAAAAGAAAGAGAGATATCTGATACAACAATGCAAGCGGAGAGACATAGGCATGGTGGGGTCAGCCTGCGGGGACTGCGAGCGCGGGCGGCGCAGGAGATGAGCGCGGCCGGTTAAGCGGGCTAGGGGGCGCGGTGAGGAGGGGAGGAGGGCTGGAGAGCGAGGAGTTGGCTCATGAGGCCAGGGTCGCGGGGCAGTACATATAAGGTACGAGGAAGGAAGGAGGAGGAGCTAAGAGTAGGGGGTGTCGGGAGAGGGCAGGCAGTGTTCCTGGCAAACAGAAGGGGGGGAGGTGGGTGGGCCCGGGGGGGTGGTGTGTATGGCGGGGAACCGGTAAACAGCTCGGCCAAGGGGTCGCGAGGCGTCGGCGCGGGGCGGTGAGAAGGGGGACGGGGGGGGAGGAGAAGCGGGAGCTGAGAAGGACGCCGGCCGGGCATAGGGAGATGGGAGGAGCCGTGCAACCAAGGCAGCGGGAGGCACGGGCAACGCCCGCGGGGGGGGGAGAAGAAACAGGTTCCCGCTGTGGTGATGTCTAGGGGAGAGCCACGGCCAAAATACACCAGGGAGGAGCGGGCAGCAGAAGAGTGAGGAAGAGAGGCGCAATAATGAGGGCCAAGGTGGCAGGCGAGGAAGGGGGGGACGCGCGAGAAAGCAGGCGGAAGGAAGATGCGGCCCGAGAGAAAGCAAGTAGGCAAGGCGAGTACGAGCCAGGCAGACGGAGAGGAGAGGGCCCAGAGACGCCACGGGCCGCCAAGACGGGCGCGCCTAGGTGGTGTGACGTGTCAAGCTGTCATATATGTGTTACTGTTTCTGCGGCGAAGAAAGGCCATGAGGCGTCAGCAGGCGAGACTGGAGACACGGGAGGACCCAAAGGGCACAGGCGGGCGAAGCGGGTGGGCGAGCGCACGACGAGCCAGGAGGAAGAGACGAGGCGGGCGGACGCGAGAGGCAGAAGTGCGGGACGCGCGGCGGCAAGGGCAGGGGAGAGCCGGGCGGTGGGAGCTCGACGTAAGGAGCAGGCAAAGGAGTGGCGATGACGCATGGGGGGAAAGCGAGGAGGCGAGAAGACAGGCCGCCGAAGAAGGCAAGAGGAGAACCGGGGTGAGCGGACAGACAGGCGGGGCAAGGGCGAGCGGCGAACGAGAACGCACGGAGGGTGATTAGGGGGAGAGGCAAGGGCGCCCGACGTCGGGGCGAAAGAGGAAGGCGGCGGGGGAACGCCGTACGGTCTGAGCCGCTGGCGGGAGGGCGGGGGGTTAGGAAGGTTACAGGGCGGAAGAGACGAACAGCAGCGGGGGGGAAAAGTAAGGCGGAGAGCCGCTGGGCCGGGCAAGCAAGTGGGGGCAAGCAGGCGGCGAGGGGCAGAGGGGGGGGGGGAAGGCGAGTAGAGGGGAGACAGCGGAGGCAGGGGGGGGGGGCGCGGGGGCGGGCCGGCGTGGCTGGCGCCGGGGGCCAGCGGACGGGACGATAGGCGGAAAGAACGGGGGAGGCGCGGGGGGCGAAGGACCGGACGAGGAGGGGCGGGCGCGGGCGGCGGGAGGGAGGGGGCAGACGGGCGGGCGCCGCGGAGACCGCCGGACGCGAAGGGGACGTAGGCCCACCGGGCGCGGGCAAGCGGGGGCGAGGGCGGGTGGCGAAACTGACGAGGCGGGCTGGGCCCAGGGGCCCAACGACCGAGTGGGAGCAGGCGGGGCGGGAAGCAGGGGGAGGGAGGCAAAAGGAGGGAGGAGGAGTGCAGCAAACGCAAAGGCGGGGTGGGGCGGAGAGGCCAAGAGGGACGAGCGAGAGCAGGCGGAGCCGGAGGCAGCGAGGCGAGCAAGGCGGCCGGCCAAACGGCGAAGAAGAGAGAAGCGGCCGAGCCGATGCCCGCAAGCCGGAACGGAGGCAAGACCAGGGGAGAGGCCGAGACCGACAAGAGCGAGGGACGGGAGGACTGGCGGCCGGAGGGAGGCGAGCCAGGCCACGGAGAAAGGGAGGCGGGAAAAGAGCAGGGAAGACAGAGCGGGCGCGGGAGCGCGGCGCGCGGGGCCAGACACGGACGAAACGGCGCCGCGGCAGGGGCGGAGGAAGAGGCAGAGGGAGACGGAAAGCGGGCCGAAAGCCGGGCGGGGAGCCGGCCGGGAAGGGGGCACGGAACCCGGGGGACGGGCGGGGGGGGAGGGAGGCCCAAGGCAAGGCGGCGAAGGCGGGGGCAGGGAGGGGGCGAGCAAGAGGAGGGAGCGGCGGAGCCGGCGGGCGGGAAGCAGTACGGGCACCGGGCACCGCGGCGACGGAAGGCAGGGCAAACAGCCGAAGCGCGAAAGAGACGGATGGGCGGGGGGGAAGGGAGGGGGGCAGGGGAGGGACAGGGGGAGGAGGGCGCGAAAGGCACGGGGAGGAGGGGGAACACGCGGAGGGCGGCGAGACGGGACCGGGGGGCGGGCAAGCCGGCGGGGAGAGAAAGGGTGGGAGGGCGCCGGGGGCGCACCGCCCGAAGCAGCAGGCGGAGCAGGGGCCGGGAGGGCGGCAGAGGGGAGAACAGAAAGACGACAAAGGGCCGGCCGCAGGGCAGAGGGCAAGGGGAAGCCCGGAGGAAGGGCAGGGAGGGGAGAAGCGGCGGAAGGAGAAAGGAAAGGAAACGAGGCAAAAAGAAAAGGGGGGCGGCAAGGAGGCGGGCCCCGGCGCCAGGGCAGGGGGAGGAGGCAGGGGGCGAGAAGGAAACAGGACACGGGGAGGCACACAAGAACAAAAGGAGCGCCGCCGGACAACGCGCCGGGACCGCAGGGGCGGGCCCGGCGGAGGGGGGGCGCGGAGCGGGGCAAACCAAAAGAAGAGGGAGCCCGACAGAGGACGGAGGAGACGGAGAGAGGAAGGGGAGGGGACGCCCAGACCACCGAAGAGGCCCACGGGGGAGCGGAAAGCGGCGAAGGCACAACGCGCGCACGCCGCAGACGGAGGGGACAGCCGCACAGCAGAGCGGGCCGCGTCGCGACGCCGGGCCGGAAGGGAGGCGAGCAAGAGGAAGAAAGAGAGGAGGCGGGGAGGGGAAGGAAAGAAAGGAGGG